CTCCAGGAGTTGCAGAGCGAGACAAAGGTGGCTTGGTATGGCAAGCCAAGCGTCTTATTAATAGCCACTTTTACCTATTAATGAGACACTTGGCTTGTCATATTACTCGAGTGCCCTCTAGTGGCTGAAAATGGTAGTGTTCAATATTTTCCATGTCAGAATGAATGAAATTACCATACCATACCATTTTATTTATAGAGCACTTAAAACAGCGACAAGGCCAACCAAAGTGCTGTACAGACAGAACAACAGGTAACACACAAAGCAGTATACAAAATGAAGTAAATCAGAAATCCATCCATCCATCCTTCCATTATCTTTACCCGTTTATTCCATTTTGGGTCACGGGGGTCGCTGGTGCCCATGTCCAGCAATCACTGTGCGAGGGGCGGGGTACACCCTGGACGGGTCGCAAGTCCATCACAGGGACACATAGAGACAAACGAGACAAACAACCATTCACTCTCTCACTCACACCTAGGGACAATTTAGAGTTACCAATCAGCCTAACATGCATGTTTTTGGTCTGTGGGAGGAAACCAGAGTACCCGGAGAAAACCCACGCATGCACGGAGAGAACATGCAAACTCCACCCAGAAAGGCACCTGGACCGGGGTTTGAACCAGGGACCTGTTCGCTGAGAGGCAGCAGCTCTACCAGTTGCGCCACCGTGCTTCCCCTAAATCAGAAATATAGAAATAAAAACAATGCAGTTAATGACGACTAACCAGTGTGGCGCATACAGGTTCAAAACACAGATCATCTGGTGTTGAAAGCTACCGAATAGTAGTGAGTTTTTAAACTGGACTTGAAGACCAAGAGGGAGGGGGCCTGTCTGACGAGCAGAGGTAACTCGTTCCAGAGTCTTGGTCCTGCTACAGAGAAGGCCCTGTCACCTCTGCGCTTAAGACGAGTTCCTGGAACTTTCTGGGCAAGTTGTAGTCGTGCAATGGAAGTCTGACTGATACCAAACAGGAGCGAATTGCAGTAATCAAGCCTAGATGTAATGAATGCATGCATTACGGTCTCCAGGTTATTTTTGGACAATATGGGCTTATGGGCATACCAGAGGTACGCTCATATAATAATAATAATAATAATAATGTCATCACAATGTCAGCACTGTATGTTTCCATACAATGGCGAAATTAGTCTCTGCATTTAACCCATCCACCACCAGGTGGTGCAGTGTATATTGGTCCAAATAAGCAACATCAGCGACATCAGTGGCAGAAAAACTAAGTTCCAGAAGCTGTTGTCGGTCTTACACCAGCAGCGAGTTTATGTCCCAGATAAAAAACAAACAAAACATAAATAATCCGAACACCATTGCAAGCCATGCACACGGGCGCCATCTTACCGGAAGTTTTTGAATTGTTAGATCTCAGTCAAAAATTGGGTTATAAATATGGGGAAAAAACGTATATTAGTCGCTTCGGTGTATAAGCCGCAGGACTTGCAAATTTATGCAAAAAGGAGCGATTTATACGGCGAAAAATACGGTAACAACAACAACGGTAACAATTTTCCAATAGCAGAGTGCTGTTTGTCCTGCTCACACTTACAGCATATAGGAGCAAACAAATCTCATCCTAGATCCCATCAGCCCTTGAAATGTTCCAAATTGTTTTGATTGTATTAAATAGAACAGTTTGACATTTTTAAATCCCGTTTGTCTTTTCTTATATTTGTATGAATTTTACACCCCTTGCTGTATCTTCTCCACAGAAAATTTATATATTTTTTTCCCTTTTACAGCAACTTCTATAACTTTAAAAAGGTTTAATTTTGAGTGAAAACCAGTTTGAGTATATTTATGTGGAATAGAAGCAAGAAAGTAAGACAATTAAAAAAAAAATATAAAATTAATAATATGTGGGTGTTTAACATTAATAATACACCAGACTGTGTTCCCTATGAGAAATAATGACATTTATTTGCTTTTTCTTACATGTAAATTTATTTTTGACCTACAAAGCTGATGTTTTCACTCGAGAGTAATTTTTAAAGTTCACTTTCTGCAGGACTGAAGTGGCTGCTCAGATGATCACTATAGATTATTATACTTTCAGGAAATAAAATGTGCTGGACATTTTAACTTCGTGGTACTCTTCTTGATTTCTCTTCTTTGTTCTGCAAACCACATCTTCAAAAAGGTACTTCTGCTTTACTTAGAGATTTTTTTGTTAATGTATTTTTATAAATGTCTTGTTAAAAAAAACAAACAACCTCAAAACATAGTTTTGTTCTGATTTATTTGCTCAAGTGTGTGATAAGATGCAACGTGAACTTTACTGAAATTCGTACGACATGAAGCATTTAATTTTGAAACAAACAAACAAAAAAAGAGTCAATGTCTCCGAGATAAGAATGAACATTTTAAAATTGCTTTTCAGGAAATCTAAAGTACAAAAAAAAGACATCAGATATTGCTGCACCAGTCACATGTAAATCGAGATAAAATGTTAATTTTGATTTTTTTTTTAGTAACCGATCAACAGTTTATTTTAAAAAATGTGACATTAAGTTATCAAGTTTGCTGACGAGGTGAGCCCAAATGCAAACCAAAAACTTCAAGTTCAAATAAATTAATTTATTCACAAAAAGACTAAACAAAAGGCAGCACAAAACTCAAAGGAAAACTCGGGCGTAGAAAAATAAACCACTCTAGGGAACAAACACGAGCGGCTTTTCAGCATATTGCGCCGACAAAAGACAAACCAAATGACACCGTACGTAAAGAGACGCTAACGAGGGAAAAAGAACAAACACCTGAGGTGATTTCTGACTGGGAGGCAGGTGGTGGCAAACTGGCTGGAAAAATACAGCGAAGGCTGACGGAGAACTGACAGGACAAACTAAACACTCAGCTTGTGGCAGACGTCACTTCCTGAAAGAAGAATAAACTCGTTTTTTTAATGTCAAATCAAAAAGTTGTGAAAATGTAAGTAACCTGGCTTTTATTTCCTGCTTTCGTTCTTTATTACAAGCCTCAATGGACTGTTCGGTCTCTGAGTTTAAACGAAATAAGGCTGGAATATTCCACTCAAGTGTTGCATTTTAGCCCCTTTGCTGTCTCATCTGCTTCACATTAACGTGCGCCGTCAAGCAGCCTGTAGAACAAATAAAGTATCAGGCTCAACCTGACATTTAAAACATCCTTTCCCACCATATCGTTGTGCTTTAGTACCATTAATCACAAGCCTTGGTGGGACGTTTTTATGAGCTGGTCATTGTAATCGCAGGCGGCTCATCCATTCATTCTAGTCCCTGTCGGCATGTCCGTTTTGTTAAAAACATTCAAACTGCTCCAACACTAATGAAATCAAACTGCAGGTCCGAGCATTAATCCTCAGTCTCAACATTATCATAACCAATAACATCTTTCACAGGCCTGTAATTAAAATGGCTGTAATTAGGAGGTAACTAATTGACCGAGGAGCAAGTTTCTCGGGTTTTCAGTCTGTTTCAGTATTGCTCATCTGCATCACGGGATGAATATTGACATTTAAATAAGACTTCCAGCACACGGTCCATCTCCTTATCTCCTCGTTAGTCCCCTCAGCTTCCAGCTCGAGCCTGTGTTCGTCAAACAAACGGCGCTAACGCGTCACCTCCAGGTCTCCAGCTACACAAAAGCAGTTTTCTCTCTGTGGAGGAGGATCCTGTCGTCCGTACCTACGCCGCTCCACTTGTGTCGGCATCTGAACAGGTGCACGTTAGCATAGACTCATCCGGTGGCTGCTTTCCTCACCGCAGACGGTTAATTATTTCTAATCACAGCTCAGCTCAAGAGTTTTTGTTTCAGACGTTCGCTCGCTCTGGAGGTGTAGGGTCTCTTTAGGATGAGCGACGTCTGTGAGTAATTTTTTTTTTTTTACCAAGCGTTAGGATGTTTTTGCAGAAATGAAGCTCACCACAGGTGTTTCTGTAAGAAATCTGTTTCCTGCAGAGGCGAGCAGCATCTTCTCTGGAGTGTTTCACTCTTTTCCTACAGGAACCCTCCTTAGATGCTCTAAAGGCTGTTTCGGATGTCGGCGCAGCAAGGGGCTGACGCATACAAATGAAGTTTTCTTACACTAAAATAATCTCCATTAGCATTTTAAAGTAATCAAGTACATCATTAAACCCGTATGGTTTATTTTAAGTCATTAAAAAGACTTTCTGTCTGACTTTGTGTTGTTTTTGTTTTGTAAGTGGGGTTGTTTGGAGTTAAGCAGTCAGTATAATACCTGCAGCAGATCGAGTGGTCTCAGCTTGGAGAATCTAGGAAAAACTCCCATGTTGGGCCCATTTAAGAGCAACTTTAAACATCTAAAACTGTTCAGACTTTCCCAGCAGTTCAGGTGCTTTTACACTCTGTCAATTTTGCATGAGACAGTTCTTTATGATACTTTTTTCCTCTGCTGGACGGTGTTTCGGATGCTATATGCCGCTGCGAGCACAACGGCCCTCGTTCACAGTGATTTTCAATTTCCTTTAGAGTCGCAAGAATTTGGGACATTGACTGCTGGACATAGAATCCAGCTTCTTGCAACACAAAAAGGAAAAGTGTGTAAAGATAAAAATTCGCCATAAATGACCTAATAAATATTAAACTGCCTAACAATCCTTAAACAATCCAAGGACACAATGTGTGTTTTCATCTTACGTCTGTGCAGAAAATCCTCTTAAATCTTGAGGCGTTTACTGAATGTCGTTTCTACAACGTAGTGAGTTATAAAAACATAAAAATAAAAGTTAGAGTTCTTATAAAACGTATAAATAGTAAAAAAAAAAAAAATCACCTTTTGGCTGCTGGCATCTCGGTCCTCCAGCAGTTGTTTACACCTCCAGTTAATGTAAAATGAATCGGTTTAATGATAAAAACTGAACTGCAGCCATGTTTCAGCAGACGAAGCTGCTGTTTGACCTGCGTGTGAACTCACATGAAGACTAATGTTTGACTCGGTGCTTCAGGAGGAGCTGCATTCATCCCTCCTCTGTCTGTGTTGTTGTAGCTGCAGACGCTAAGGAGCAGCAGTTTTGGATCAGTCAGCTGCAAGCGTGCGCCAGACGCCACTCTGACTGCAGTGCTAAGGTAAGCACACGCACACACGCACACACATGCACACAAACACAACTTTAGCGCCTATTACTCAGGAAGAGAAGTCAACAGGAAGTCCTGAATCTTGTGGAATTCCTGTCCCTCCATAAATGTGACAGATTTTTTTTATTTATTATAAACTAGTTTGTGTTAAGTATTATTGCTGAAGGTAAGATATTTATTACTCATAACTTCACTGAACATCTGTCATCAAACAATGCTGTTTTGTGGTGATTAGTAAAATAAAATAAGATAAAAATGCTCCAGAGTTCACAGTTTCAACAGACTGAGAGTCTGAGGAAAAGAGTAACACAAAACCGGTTAATGTTTAAATCCACATGACATGCTCATGTTAACATGTATGACATGCTCTTTAAGTGTCTTCTTCATTCGGTGTTTTAATTTGCAAACACTGAAATAAATGCATAACTTTAGCCATTAGTTGTTTTTAAAATAGGAAGGTTTTTGGATTTTTACCATGACTTTCTTCTTTAGGTTCAGAATATTTTGGGAAACTGTTGACGTAGGCTTAGTGGTGTAGGAAAACGTGTGATGGTGGCGGCTCAGAGCCCTGCAACGAAACCCAAGGATGCTGATGGAAATATCCACAGCATCCTCATCCTCCTCTTCCTCTCTGTGGGCTCCATTCTGACAGCACTGTTCGCAAAAATCTACCTTTTTGTGTTATTTTATTTGTTGTTGGGTTAGTTTGTATATATTTGGACATGTGGCGCTTTTATTGTTAGCTTCACTGGATTATTGTGTGTGTGTGTGTGTTTCCTGTTCTCGCAGTGTATTGACTGAGCTTCTTGTGGAGCTCCACTGCCGGTGGTGACAGTGTGGAAATCAGCCGTGCGTGGATGTCAGAAATAGTCCAAAGTTTAATTTTTCTTTTGCAAACTTTTGCTGTTCCAGTCGGCTGTACCATGAATTTTATTTAAAAATATGTCTTATTACCATGACTATGACTCGTGCTTTGCTTTCAGAGCGGCTGCTTTGGCCAATCTGAAAGCAAAATGTTCAGCTTGATCAGGAAAAGTGAGATTTTTGTAATAATTTAAAAAAAAATTAATCTTTATTTAATATGATGTTCCCAATGGGATCCCCTCATTTCCATTCAATTGTTGTTCTTTTTAAAATTAACTTCAGCGCAGTTGCTGTATTTTTGTTTTACGCTTCTTTTAGCATTTGGCTGCAGATTTGCACATTGAAGTTTCTGGCTTTGCTTTGCTAACTTAAACTCTTAGCTGTGGTTGTAATAAATTTAGCAATAGGCTAGTGTTTTGCAAAAGGTAACTTTTATTTAAAGTTTTGCAAATTTTAGCTTTCAACTACATTTTGCAACATTTAGATTTTCAGGTCATTTTTTTTGCTATATCAGCTTTAAACTAGAGTTTTGCTACATTTAACGATAAGCTACTGTTTTGCTCGTTTTAGCTTTTAAGTACTTTGTTTTTAGCTTTTAGCTCCCATGTTTCTAATTTTAGCTTCTAGCTATGTTTTGCTACATTTAGCTTTTAGCTACTTATTTTGCTATATGTGGCTTCAAGCTACATTCTTGCTACATTTAGTGATTAGCAACAGTTTAGAAAATTTTAGTTAGTTGCAATGATTTTGTTTACTTTTGCTTTTAGGTACTGTAATGCTAATTATTAGCTTTTAGCGACTGTGTTTTCATTCAGCCTTTATTTAAACAGGTTAGTCCCATCGAGCCACGAGGATTCATTTACAAGATGTTGTTGGTGTTGCTTGTTTTACACTTTAAGCTACCATGTGGCAAAATATATATTATATCTAATGTTATTTTTAGCCTTTAGCTTCTACGTTACTAATTTTAGCATTTAGTCATTACGATGCAAATTTTTGCATTTAGTAGCTGTGTCGCAACATATAGGCTTTAGGTTCTGACTGGCTAATATTTAGTTTTAACTATCGTCTTTCTAATTTTAGCTTTTAGCTACTATTTTGCAACATTTAGTGTTTACCAGTAGTTTTGGTTTTGCTAATTTAATCTTTACCTCTTGTTCCACTTATTGCTGAAGGTCATCAGTCGGTGTTATTTTTTGCAGTTTCTCCTGTTTTATTTAGTTTAGATTTTTATTTTATTTTACTTTTGAGCAAATCTTTCGGTCTGAGGTGGATCTATTGATATTTAAGTTTATGAAACGTTTGTTTTTGTTTTAGGTGAGGAAATTAAAAGGCTCAGATGAACACCTGAGTGTGGAGAGAGCAGGAGGGCAAGAAGTGCTGGTGAGTGAAACACGCGCGCACACACACACATTGCAAACTTATCTCCAAGGTTTCTCATGTCTCTTAAACCAATTAAACACTCCAGACTCATCATGTTGCCTCATTGGCGGCTCGATTATTCCACACGTAGCTCCTCAGCAGATCAAGCTGCTGCACAGCTGGAGCAAAGGGAGAGTCCAATTACCCTGCTCAGCAGTGTTGAGAAAAGTAATCAAAAGAAGAGGGAAAAACAACGAAGAAGCAAAGCGTGGAGGGGAGAGTCTCCTTCTCCCTTCGCCGAGCAGAGATCGGCGGCTGTTTTGTTTGTGCTCGCCTAGCGTGGAGCATGTCCTCGGCTGCAGCTGCTGCGCTCTAATCCTTCGCCGAGCTGCAACGCCACTGAGATCGTTATCGCCGCTCTGCTGATGAGGCAGCCGCCAGCAGAGGCTCACTGATAACGGACCTGTTTGGCAGAGAAGATACAGCAGGATTTATTTATTACAAAAAACAGACGGGGTTTATCTTCACTCTGAGGCTAAAATAAACCCAGAGCTGTCACGTGTTGGCCTGTTGACCATTTTAGCTTTTCTTAAACGAGGCTCCGTGAAAACCTTTATGTGCCACAATGAACACAAACTAAACACAATGTACACAAAGCTTGACAAAGGTTAACTAATAACTGCACATTTACACGTTTAGGAGCAGAACTTTGTGTTTACTAAAAGACAGGAGGTGGAGTTGGTGCATCGGTGGAGGGACAGTGGACACGTTGGACAAATGATTCTGAATATGGAGGAAATGTGTGATGGAGGCAAATGATCTACTGTGGCTCCTAAAGGGAGCAGGTAAAAGAAAAACAAGATTTATAGAAAGCCTTTGACTATAACAGACAACCAGAGAGGCCTTGCTCATTAATTAATAATATTATCATGAATTAATTCTAATAAAAAGTCTTAATAAAGGAGCTGGTTGGACTTACCGTAATTTCCGGTCTATAAGCTGCTACTTTTTTCAAAGGCTTTGAACCCTGCGGCTTATACAATGCTGCGGCTAATTTATGTTTTATTTAATTTATTTATTTTAACTAGCTGTGTTACTGGCACTGCTCAGAAAAAAAAATACTGTACATATTTGTTTTTGTTACCAGTATGCATTTAATTAAAAGTTTTCTCATGTTACAACTTGGGCACCTGCAGCTTATACACAAATGTACAAAATCGTCTTTTATATTTTGAAGTGTGCGCGGCTTATATTTGGGCACGCGCTATAGTCTGGAAATTACGGTAAATCAGCCAAAGCAAAGGATCCCGTCCACATGGTGAATATAAGTTAAAGCTAAACTGAGTTTATCATTAAATCGAAACTTGAGCCTTTTTTAGTATATTTAATAGAAAGTTTATTGGATTAGAATAAATTTTGCACCTTTGACTAAGGAACTCATCAAACTGTCTTTTTGTTTCCATGTAGCCACATAAGCAGAATAACTGAAAAAAAGTGCTAATAAAAAAAGAATAATATTTCAGAAACTGAGAGAACGTTCTTGTGGTCTCTGGTTGTAGAAAACTCACATTAAGTTTCCAGTTCCTCTTGATCAGAGATGAAGTCAGCAAACTGACTTTGATTATTTCTGAGTACTGGTATTTTGTGAAAGCAGGTAAAAGTCTTCATCAGAGATTTGGTGTAAAAGAAAGAAATCCGTTTGAGTTCATGGAGAGGTTCTTGGCTTTTGGAAGAACGCCTTTAGGCTTACTTTATCAGAAGAAAAATAGGTTTTCCATTATGTTCCTAAGAAAACTGCTTATGAAATGATTACAGTTTAATTAGATTTGCTAATCTAAACGATACTCGCATTAAAAAACACTTGAAATACCCAGTTAAGTCTTCATGTAAACTCAAAATGTAACCATTAATCATACAACAGGGCCTTGTTCTTTTTATTTTATTTCTGGTAAAGCTTTTTGTTGTTTACGACCAAACAGGAAAATAAGCCTCATCCATAATTTACTGTACAGTTTGCTTCTCGTCCCATTCTGACGTGATCATTTATTTCTCCGTTGCTGCATTAAGGCAGCAGGACTTTTGGTGGTTTCAGCAGCTGCTGCCGGGCTCGGAGCACAGCTGCACGTCATTAAGCTGATTAGCAGCCCGATTAGCTGACCAGAGAGGTCTGAAGCTGAAACTCCACCCAGAGAGACAGGAAGAGCAGAGAACACCACAGTGTGGATTTTAACTCAGCTGGGACGCTTGTTTTGGTTTGAGAAGGTAACAAATTATTTCAGGCATCCTCCTAATATGGTATAATGATTTTTATTAAATATGTATTTTAAACATATATTCAGAAAAAGATGCATAGCAACAATTTGATAAACAAAATATTTGAAAAAGGAGCAGTATGATTATATAGTCCTGCCTTTTATTCACTATTATTTAAAAATATATTCATTTCTATGATTTTTTTTATTTTTTATTACATCAATGGATTATTAAACAATTACTCTACAATCCGCCCCAAACTCTTCCACGTCTCTACAACTTGTGAATATATTGTTTTAAAAACCTTTTCTTAAACTGACCAACAGATCTCCTTCAGCTGAACCCTTCCACAAAGTCACACCACGAAATTAAATCCATACTTTTTAAATTTGTACGGCGCAGCCTTTCATAAAAATAGTTTTTCGTCTTGGATTATACTCATTTCCTCTGTTCTTAAATATTTTCTGGGTATTACCATGAAATAAATAGCTAACAGTAAATAATATTAAATGAGTTGAGTAAGAAATATTTAACCACCCTGTTGTCCTTGGGTCAAAATGACCCAGTTTTAATAACGAGGCCTCAAGTCGTTAACTTTTTAAAATTTTGTTCATGCAGTACCACTTTCTGTCTGCAGATGTCGCTATTTATCACGTTGGCCCAAATCTTAATAAACTATTTGAGATTCATCCATCTATAGTTTTCACGTCATAAAAGCTTCCTCTGGAGACTGAAGCAAACGAGGTCACCCCCCGCCTGTCCCCAATCCATCCACTTGTTTTTATATCCACGCACTGTTGAGCGTTCAGACGAGCTGCATCCCGTCTTGGTACGACACCTGCAGGGTCAGTGACGGGAAGACTCTGCAGCATGTGGTGAGAACGGCTTGGAGGCTCACAGAAGGTAAGGAAAGGAAAATCATGTTGAAGGAAAGATGCAGGAACAGCGCCCTTCCTGTTGTCACTTTTATCCTCAAAAGATAATTTTAATAACAAGTAGAACACAAAACTGTCAAAAAGCAGTCTAAATATTTCCACCAATCAGTAAATGTGTGTAATCAGAGTTAATGAGACGTCAGCTGCAGACTGTTGAGCTGCTTACCCATAATGCCTCACTCTGGGGACGGATCCGCCCACGCGTCACCGACGGCTGGAGCACCTGCGAGGTGGTTAAAATTTAGGTTTTGGTTTAGTGCGAGCCGGGAGCCGACCCGTGGGCCCAAAGTTACCAGAGGAGCTGTTAATTTGTGAAAACCATATTTATTTTCAGATTGTGAACATCTGCTGCGACTGCAAGACCTCACCTGTCTGGGTTCATGCTTATGAAAGACTTTATCTCCAACACATCGTTCTTTGTAACTTCCTTCATTTATCGTGAATATATTTCAGAATAATTATGTTAAACTAGAGAAATTTTATTTCCCACGAAAATGCAGCGTGAATGTTTATTACAGAAGAACTAGCTGAAATGAGCTGAATCACATTCTGAAATGTAGCTGAAATGGAAGCACAAGCCTAAATGAGAAGAAGAAAGCAGAAAGAACACACATTTGCTGAATTAGGTTTAAATAAGCAGAAATGAGCACAAAGTTTAGGAAATTAGCCAAAAAAATTGCTGAAAGTAGCTGAAAAGTTAGAAACAAGCTTAAACTACCAAAAAAAGCGGAAAGAGCTGAATCGAGCTAAAAAATGTGGAACTAGCTGAAAAAGCTAAAATGAGCATAAAACGGCTAAATAGTAGCTGAAATAGCAGAAAAATCTGAAACTAGCAGAAAAAAGCTGAAAGGAGCATAACAAGTTAAAATACGCATAAATAAGTTAATTAGGCTGAAAGTAGCAGAAACTAACATGAAAAACTCAGACAACAGCTGAAATTAGGTAAAGATGCTAAATGCCAGCCGAAAAGGTTGAACAAGCTTAAATTAGCAGAAGAAAGCAGAAAGAACACTTTGCCCAATTAGGCTGAAGGAAGCAGAAATGAGCACAAAGAAGTTAATTTAAAAAAAGGTTGAAATTAGCAATTAATAAATAAATTCATTTTAAAAATGGCTGAAAAGTAGCTAAAAAGCAGAAAGAAGCTTAAATTAGTGAAGATTTTTGCTAACTGGGCTGAAGAAATTTAAATTAGTGGAACAAAAAACAACCAAAAATAGAGAAATTATCTGAAAAAGCAAAAATTAACATAAAATGGTTAAATATCAGCCGAAATTACTAACAGAAACAAGCTGAAATTAGCAGAAAGAAGTTAAAAGAAGCACAAAAATATTGTAATTAGCAGAAAGAATCTGAACGGAGCACAAAACAGCTGGACAAGCAAAACAGCTGAAATTAGCTGAAAAATGTTTAAGGACACATTAAGGAAGCTGAAAGAAGCTGAAGCAGAACAAAATGTGAAAGGAGCAGTTAAAAGTTGTAAACAGATCTAAAGAACTGATGGATGTAAAATGAGCTCAGTTAATTTTCTATAAGGAAATAAAAGTGGCTGTAAAGGCTAAATATTTCAAAAAGCTAAAGCTGCACCAATACCAAAAGTCATAGCAGCCTTCTCCTGAAAGAGCTGAAGGTCTTAGATATAATTTGTGGAAATAGCTTGAAAACTGCAGGATGAGAATCATGCTGAACAACATGAAAAAATGGCTCACAATGGTGTGACTGCTTCATAAACATTCAGCTGAAATCGTATAGGCCGGCTAGTCGTTGGTTCAACGCCTGGTTTAGTGCAGCGGGAGCATCAGCGGCTTGTTTGCTCGGTCATCGGCGCTGTGGGCTGAAACTTGTTAATTTGATCTGTGGGATCTAACCGCAGCAGCGACCGGCCCCCGCGGTCTTCTGGAGGGATAAATCTACGATGCCTCGTCTCTGTGCTGCTGTGTAGAGACGGTGGAGACGAGATACTGATCTGACTTTGCTGCCTGTTCGAGCGCAGAGGTCGTCCAACGTCGCAGAGAGAGCCGTGCATCAGAGTGAAGGATGCGACTTCAGCTCCCAGAGGCCAAACAAGAACAAGATTCCATCTTTTTTTTGTTGTAAAACTAAGTTGTAGCTATTTATCAAAACGAGGGTGGACTTTCCCCTGAATGCTGTAAACTGTAGTTTGTGTTCCTTCCACCTTTTTATCTGATTCTCTTCCTGTTGAGAGGAAGTTCTCATCCTTCCTGCTTCAGTTCATTCTCAGGACGTGATCCTTGGAGCTATTTAAGCTCTTCATACGTCCAAATGTTCAGCTCGCTCAGCAGATGGCTGCTGGGACCTTTTGCTTTTTGTAACTTTTATATTTTATTTAAGGTATCGGCTTTATGCACATCGTTCCCATTAGAAATAGAGTGAGGTCTTTTCCTTAACGCTGTTCTCTTCAAGTTTACGTCATCTTTTTTGTCTTATGCCACTTTAACTTTTTGCTATCCTTTTGCTTTTTTTTTTTTTTTTAGCTCCCAGCTAGCGGTTTATTACTTATCAAACTTTTTTGATGGTTCCATTAGCATTCGGCTTCTTTGAAAGTTTCAGCTTCTTCAGCATGTTCAGATCTGTCTCGGATCAGAACTGGGCAGCACAGAAGTGTGCTGAACTATGTCACTGAATTAAAGTCAAATCTAACTTTTCTTATTCAGCACTCTTGACTTCTCTTTAGTACTGTGCAAAAGTCTTGAGTCATGCCGAACGTCTTTCTTGCAATCTGTTAAAGGGGTCTTGATTTAACTTCATGCTGTTCTTTGAGGTTTTTCTTATTTATTTTGTTCATAATTATATCTGGGCTTTATTGTTCAGATCTGCTGCTGTGTGGATTTATTTTCCTGTTGCATTTGACGCTTAATGGCTCAGAGTCCCCAGATCATCATCCTTCCACCACTGTGCCTTCATGCCATTTTGGTTGCATTTGCTTTAAGCATAAAATAAAATCTTCAAAGTGCAACATTTTTCCTTTTTAAGTTCTGAAATTCTAGGATAAATTAATCCTGTTGTCGTGTCTCAGTCTGTTTATTCTGTTCTTATTCAGATGCATCCTTGCAGATCTGAGCTGTCATGCTGCTGAGAGAGGAGGTGTTATTTGGTGTGTGTGTGTGTGTTTTAACAGTACTGTCATGGTGTAGCGCTTGGTTTTTTACATTTTCTCTGTGCACAGCACGCTTTGACCTTGGGCTGATATTGCTGGGAAGACTGGCAGCTTTCTTCAGTGTTTTTCAACTGGGAATATTTTTGTCTCTCTGCAGAACGACAGAGTCTAAATCGTTTGTAAATGACCTGTAGAACCTGATGGGCTAAGAACAACTCTTTGACGTCGACTTATTGGCTGAAGAAGGACCTGGCTGTTATTTACTTTTACTTTAGATGGAAGCTGGAAAAATATACATTTTGTACTCGCTGTTCCTTGATTTTCCAATAAAAACAAGTAAAATTACCTTATACTTTTACCATATTTTTTGGACTATAAGGCGCATTAAGCGAAACAGAACAGTCACATAAGTCAAACTTTATTCAACTCATTCACAATAACCACATAAAATCAGTTTGAGGTCAGTAAGCACAACCAGAATTAATACACATGGTGCACTTGATTATAAGTCTAGTCTGTCTTTAAAATAGAGAAAATCTGTATCATCTTCTTTTAATGTGAGTAATGGTGTGCAACAAGGCAGCATTTTCTCTTCTTGCCTTTTAAACCTGTATATGGATGATTTATCTAAGCTGTTGAATCGATGACTGGCTGTTGCGTTGGCAATAGAACCATCAACCGTGATGTATGCTGACAATCTTGTAATCTTTTGTCCATATAGTGCTGGTCTGCATCAACTGTTCAGGGTTTGCTCTCAGTGTGGATTGGCCTTTGATATTAAATATAATATAAAAAAAGAGTAACATCTTGATTATTAGGAGCAAAGAGGACACTAAACTATCTTTCCCTGACTTCACCCTGTCTGGCAGCATCCTCCAAGTCAGTGACGAGGTGAAGTACTTGGGACATTACATAATCGCTGACCTGTCTGATGGAGACATTTACAGGCAGCGTTGTATGCAATATGTACAAGCTAATCTGCTTCTTCAGATGGAGTAGTGCCAGTCAGGTGTTCGTAAATGCCAACGTACCAACTCGTGCTGTTGTGCTTCAAAAACATGTACAGATGTATGTGTAGGCTAACAAACTCTGTAAATAGCGTAATTTGTACTCTGCCCAACCCCGTACAAAGCTCAGTTAGGTTCTCTTCTAGTCTGTGGAACCACTGGCGCCTTAATTTATATGGCAATGGATGAACGTTCTGTTTTTATTGTCTTGTTGGTGTTCTTTTTTTTTTGTGCCCGTTTTTGTTTACTATGGACCATGTGCGTCTTAAATGTAGTTTTTGATTGATTGATTTGATATAAGGATCACTTTTGATTTTTGAGAAAATTACAGTATTTAAAGTGCGCCTTATATTCAGAAAAATACGGTAGATGGAACGTTCATGTTTTAATGTGAACTAAATGTTGAACTAGAGCGAACACACGGCCTGCCCTGTAGAAATCTTTTGTTTCATTGCCCATCTCCTCCTCTTCAGGGCTCCTCATCCTCTGGCCGGGCCCGTAGCTTCTCCCTCCTCCCCCACCTTACTCCATCTTCATCTCCGAGTTCCCAGAGGCACGCGGGCCACACGGCCTCATCCGGCAACATCGTCACCATCACCCACCACAAATCTCCAGCCGCAGCTCGCCGAGCACAGAGTCAGTATCCAGGACAGCTGCTGGAGGTCAAGGAGGTGGGTGACGAAGGCTGAAGAGCGTTTAACCTTTCTGACCTTTTTACAGTTTGAATAAAAAGCAGATAGGCAGGGAGTGTTGTTGGGAAAGAAAGGGATTATGGGAAGTGGAGACAGCGGGTCTGATCCACTCATCACATTGTATTCTCTACAGCTGCATGTTCCTGATCGGGTTTTATTCGCTCCACTAATCAGCTCAGTGGGTTTTTTTTTTTTCTCCCTTCCATTTTCTAAATAGAAAAAGGCCCAATTTATTTATTTATTTAATGTCCAACTCTACCTGCTTGAAAACATGTTTGAAACTGAATCTACAAGCTAAAAATGGTCCTTCAAGAGAAGAGATTGACCTCAGTTTAAGTCTTATGAACAAGTTTTAATACGTTTTAAAACGTTGAACAGTTTGACAGCTCTGGATCTTTGTGGTTCCTAAACACACAGTTGGTTTTTCTCATTTAGTTTTCTTATCTTGCATATTCTCTCCCTTTTCCTGATGTTAAAATGATTTTAGGATGTTGACTTCTAAAGTGCTGGAGGAGGTACGATGCGAGGATGCATTGGTGTATCTTTCACATCCAACATGGCTGGTTTTTGTTCTCATGAAACAAACTACAAACTGATGAATTATCATACACCAAAATACAGTTTTGTGTGTCAGAAAGAAAAGGTTGTGCTGTGTCATCCATCCTCTCGTTTTTCTTTGACAAAGGGAATCAGATTGTGTTTGATCGTTGAGTGCTTGGTCTCTGTTCCCATGCGTTTCCAGCAGTTCTGTGTTTTGGCAGCTGGTCTTTTCCTCCGATTAAAACTTAGTTATTTTAGCTTTTGTTTGTTTTCTGCTGTGACTCCCACCAGCAGCAACATTTAGTTCTGAGGTCGTATTCGGTTCTCAGATTTGTCCCTGCTCCAACACACCTGATTAAAAAGAATAAATTACCTCATCAGCGTGTCAAGTTAAACAGAAACCAATTACAGAGCCGTTAATGCTGCCCTGAAGGTACTGAGATATTACAGATCAGACTGATGTAATAAACTGGATTTCAGGAGCTCAGTTTTTTTAATGTCCTAAATTTAATGGATTTAATTGGACTTGTTCACTTTTTTTTTTTGAAAAATCCTAAAAAAAAGTTTTGTGGTTTGGCACTAAATGAATAGTGACTTGAAGTGGGATTTGTCCCGAGATTATTGGGTTCAAAAACAAAGCAAACTTTCCACTTAGCTGCACTTGACTTGGTGGGATGTTGGTGAACAGTGAAAATTTATTCCATGCTGTTCAATAACTTTACCTAATGGAAACATATATAAGGTAAAGAGTATTGGTCCGAGCACTGAACCCTGAGGAACGCCATGACTAACTTTTGAGTTTTTTTTTTTTTTAATTAACTACATGACTAACTTTCACAATAATAAATGGCAGATTTCCAGGCAAGTTAATTAAATTACTCTCTTGAAATTCCCCATCAGTTTTGACTCAGCTGGAAGTTTAGACCCTCGTCAGTTTTCTCCGCCTCGACAACCGGACCCGTCAGTTCTGATGATTGTTTCCTTCTTTTTGCTGCTGCGTCTGCATTCGCTCCGAGGACTCATTTACTTTTCTCTGCTTATCTTTCAGGAGGAGTTTTTCCACTGTCGCTTCTTAATGACTTGTCTGCAGTAGGTTTAAACTGATTAATTGCAATAGATTGTACGTCTTTATGAAGTGAAGATGATGGACCCGATGCGTGCCAGATAAGCAGACTGTTTAGGCGCTCGCTGCAGCAATTTTGCTTTCAACCCTTTTTTGTTAAATGTGCTTTTTGGATTAATGCCAGGTGCTTGAGTGTAGCGCCTTTTAAATATGGAGATGAGATGATTGAGCAGCCAGAAAGGAGGCAAGAGGACTTTAATATAAGATACTGTGGAACAAATGGAAAATGGTTGGGAAGACTTCATGTCGGCCCATTTCACCAAGACTCACCAGCTGTGATGCCACTTTCGAAGGAGCATCAATATTTCATGTCAAGCTAATTCTTTCTTGCCTCTTCTCTGCTCGTTGGATCCTCGGCTGACTGGAATGTGTTAAATCGCCCCGTCAGACGCTGCAGCTCTGCCTCTCGGTGCTAAGAATATCTCATGGAAATGATTCACTCGGTGACAGAAAGGGAGCAGCCACTGATCGGTGGCGTTGAAGGAGTCTCACTTCTCGGATGGTTTGATCATTGAGGAAAACAAACACTCCTCTGGCGCTCGTGGTTTCTCCACAGAGGAGAACAGTCCAGTGTGACGTCAGATTAATCTTAATGAGGTTTTGGTCCAGAAGAACTGGGTTGCTGCTTTGTGACCCGATTCAAATCTGCAGTCGTTTAGCTCATCTATTCATCTCTCGCTGCGTCTACTTTTTTGTTTTCCATCCCTCAGCTGTTGTCCTTTTTGCTCGTATTTTACTTTTTACTCTTACCAGATGAATAAAGTTGATGGTTTTGGCACCGATCAAACCTGGAGGATGCTGGCGTTGACAATAAATCGACTTTTAAAAAACACCTTTTTTATAGATACTTTGCTCACATGCATGAACTTTGCATTCACATAAGAACTTTGTCACATTGTTTCCTATTTTTATGAATTGGTACAGTTAAGACATTTTTGTGAAAAATTGAAGTTTCTACAAAAGCCTTTCCTTCACTGTGACAAATTTTATTTTACTGGTCTTAGAACAGTAGGTCTGCTTTGTTGTGGCTGAAATCAAGCCTTGTTTAACTTTATTCCTCAGTGAAGTTGATCTTGTGTTGACTGTATTTTAAGAAGGACTTGGTTGTGGCTTGTGAGCATCTGTCAGATCAGAACTGTTGCATAACAGCAAAGTCGGTCTCTCAGTCGTTAAATATTCTGCAGATTTACTGTTCAGCAGCTAAATGATGGATGTTGGCTGGTTTTTTCAGCTGCTTTAGGATTACTACATTCAGCTTCACAGCTATAAAGACTTAAGTTCTCTTGAGTGGCGTCCACATGAACTTTTAACACAGGAAATCTTTCATCACAGCATTACACTAACAAATAAATTAAAGTTTTAAGGTGTACGTGTTTCAGTGTGTACAGATGAGTATTGTGAAGTTTTATTGAAACTTGTAAGGCAAAGAATTAAAGCTAAAACCTAAGTCAGTGTGGAGGCCACTGTCATGCTGTCACCTTCCATCCATCTGTCTCTGAATGTGGCTCCATCTCCTCGTTGAGTGCGAGACGTTAGGAGTCGCATCACATGACAGTTTCGCCTCAGCCAGCTTGACGTGAACTCGTCGAACACCAGCTCGCAGCACCACCGGGTGCTCCAACAACTACAGCAGTGCTGGATTTTTGGGTTTAGGCTGTTTCTGGAAACATCACTGGTGTTTTTAACTGCATTATTACTGTAGATTATTGTTGTCATTGTTTACTGTTTTGTTGTCTGTACTTTTATATGTTCTGTCTGGAACAGGTCCCTCTTGTAAATGAGTCCTCGTGGCTCAGCGAGACTAACTTGTATAAATAAAGGTTGAATGAACAGATTTACACAAATTCGTGAACAGTAATTGAGAGAAAAAGGTCTTGTGCACATAGAAGAAGTATTAGATCTTTGAGTTCAGCTCATGAAAAATGGGAAACCAATTAAAAGTGTTGCGTTTATATTTTGGCTCGGTGTAGTTTCGTTGTGTATGGTAGGGTTATGCATTGCTGGTCTGCATTTCTCAATACTCTGCTGCTCAGGTTTCTTTAATTGAGCTCGCATTCAGCAAAAAAACAAAACAAACAACAAAAAAACAAAACAATGTGATTAAGCTTTTAACCACCATACAGTATGATTCAATATGAGTTTTAAATCAACATGTTCAAGAAGCGGGTAAAGATGTTGGATGGAAGGATGGATGTTGGGATTCAATTAATCAACTAAAGTGGTTCAGTATTTTATTTAGACTATTTACCACCCATTAAAAAAACTTGCAAACAGATCTTGGTTAAAAATTACTTTAATTTCATAAAACTTCGCTCTTGAATACCAAACATTAGGAGTGAGCAGCCATAAAATCCATTTTATAAATTGATTATTAAATGGGTCAATCTTTTTAGTTGATTCACATGAGGATGAAGCACACTTTCAACGTGTTGCTGTTTTTACCGGTGCTGCAGCAGTTCTCCTACTGACCTGTAGGTGTCACTATTAAGCATTAAACATCACTAAACAGCTGGAATGTCACCAGAAGAAGAGTTGCCTACTAAAAGAAGTGACTACAGGTGCTCTGTTCTATCCATTATCCATCCGTTCATCAGCTTTACCCGCCTTTTCCTTTTGGGGTCACAGGGGTCACTGGTGTCCATATCCAGCAGTCATTGTGTGAGAGGCCGGGAAAACCATGGACAAGTCTCCAGTTCATCACAGGGACAAATAGAGGCAAGCGAGACAAACCACCATTCACTCTCTCTCTCACACCTAGGGACAATTTAGAGTTACCAATCAGCCTAACATGCATGTTTTTGGTCTGTGGGAGGAAACTGGAGTACCCGGAGAAAACCCACACATGCACGGAGAGAACATACAAACTCCACCCAGAAAGGTCCCCGGTCAGGATTTGAACCAGCAACCTGCTCTCTGAGAGGCAGCAGCCCTAACAACTGTGCCACCATGCCACTTGGGGCTTTGTTCTACATATGGAAATGTAGCCACATTTTTTACCGTTTTATAAAGCGAAAACGACAACAAAAGCACAAATAAATAAAACCTGCTTGAAGATTCTTCGTCTAACAACAAAATACTTTAGATTTTACCGGCAAAGACAAAAAAAACAAAAGCGATGCATCTAAATTTAATCTCATAACTGCGTCAGCACACAGCTGCTCGACTGATCTTTGTATTTTACATGAATTTTAATCCACATCAGTGTGAATGTTGCAGGTAAAGTTTCTCTGTTTTGCGTCAATCCAAGAACATTTATTTGTGACTAAACGGTTACTGGTCACATTTTTAAGCTTAAGATTTAATTTTACAAACTGAA